ATGTCGCCAATCCTTGCACACCGCAAATGAGGAAGAGCCTCTGGCTCTTCCTGAAGATATAGCGGCCTACCGGCCTCCTGGGCGGTGACTTCCTAGGCCGAGCGGCCTCCCAGCAACCGGTACCTCCTCACTTTCGGAGGGAAACATCATTGCAGGCTCTGTTATTGTCCGGACAGGCCCTAGACCCGGGCTACTTGGACTGGTACCGGCCTACCTCTAGCCTACCGCTACTGGGCCTCTAAACATGCCAACTTTTTGTCTTCTTCTGCTCGGCCTACCTGCTACTTGAGTGTTTTTCCCCAGCTGCTCTAAGTGCCGTGGGCCTACCCCCGCTACCTGCGTGTTAACCCCCCCTGCAACCCTTCAAAGTCACGGCCACAGGTAAGTACCGGCCCTGCGGGGCCTTGCAACCAACAGGTACGCTTACGGGTCACACACACACTCAACCGTCAAGCACTCAGACAGGCATGCACACACACACAGACTTGGAAAACACAGCAGAATGCGGGAATCACGGCAAGGCATTCATTCCAGTGGCAAATCCCAGAAATCAGCAGTGTTCTCAGTCTGTGCTTTGGCGGGTCATTACAGCTGCTAAAGAGTGCTCCCCGTGTTGTGAATGCTTATGAACGACAGATCGCTGAGGGACAGACTGCTAAATTTGTTGCAAAAATGACTCCTCGCGGACTTACTAAGTCTCTCTTTCTGATTTACTCCTACGATGCATTTTGTGCCAACTCTGAATGAGTTACTCGCTCGAAGGGACCTCGCTCTTGAGAGGGGGGTAGTGTAATGACCCGCGAAAAACACAGACTGAGAACACTGCTGATTTCTGGGATTTGCCGCTGGAATGAATGCCTTGCTGAAATTCCCGCATTCTGCTGTGATTTCCATGTCTGTGTGTGTGTGCGTGCCTGCTGGTTTGCATGCCTGTCTGAGTGCTTGTCGGTTGAGTGTGTGTGTGACGCGCAGGGGTACTTGTTGGTTGCAAGGGCCCGCAGGGCCGGTACTTCCCTGTGGCCGTGACTGTGAAGGGTTGCAGGGGGGGAAAACACTCGAGTAGCGGGGTTAGGCCCACGGCACTTAGAGAAGAGGGGAAAGATACTCAAGTAGCAGGTAGGACGGTACCACTCAAGTAGTGGTAGGAGTATTGGGTACTGGAGGCCGAGCAGAAGAAGACAAAAAGTTGGCATTTTTAGAGGCCAAGTAGCGGTAGGATAGCGGTAGGCCGGTACCAGTCCAAGTAGCCCGGGTCTAGGGCCTGTACGGAGGATAGCAGAGCCTGCAATGATGTTTCCCTCCGAAAGGGAGGAGGTACCGGTTGCTGGGAGGCCTCTCGGCCTAGGAAGTCACCGCCCAGGAGGCCGGTAGGCCGCTATATCTCCAGGAAGAGCAAAGAGCTCTTCCTCATTTGTGGTGTGCAAGGATTGGCGACATGCTGCTAGCGCTGCTTGGAGGTGAAGGGTCGCTGGACTTCAGCCTGGCTATGGCGAGCAGTCCAGCTTGAGGAGGAGGAAGAAGGGGGCATGGTAGGAGAGTGGCGGGGCACTTACCTGGCTATGGTAGACACCATCTTCATCACCTTGTTGGGCGCTGCATCTGGAAGGCCCCAGTTGGGGTAGTGCTGGACCAAGGAAGCTCGAGGCAGAGTCAGGCATGGCGGACCAGTCAGCAGCGGCATAGCTGCTTTGGGTTGTCCTTTGGACATCAGCGCAGCACCATAGCTGCTTTGGGTTGTCCTTTGGACGTCAGGGCAAGGCCCTCATTAGTCCGCCATAGCCTATGCATGAGAGAGGAGGCTGAAGGAGGGAAGCCGTAGCTATGGTGGACTGGTTGTTGTTGTTGTTGTGGAGTTGAGTCAGCAGTAAGAGGTAACTTCGGGTATTGATTCTGGTTCATCCATTCATTGTTATTATTATTATTGAGAGAAGAATAAGGTTGGTGAAGTGAAGGAGGAGGAAGAAGGTGGAGAGAGAAGGGGGAATTGTCATTGGTCTTGCTGGTGTACATCTTCTTCTTCTTCTTCTTCTTCTTCTTTATCTCTCCTCTGGTCTTGATCTCTTTGCAAGTGCTTTCATTTCTTTCGCAATTGGGTGGCATTGTCTTTCATTGTGAATTTGCACTTGGGAAATGACCAGGATCGTAACAACGACCTTATTGTGACTGCCAGGGCAGTCAGACTTGCTGGCAACACCTTAATTAATACGGTCAGGTCGATAGCAAAAAGAGAAGTGACCAGTATGGGGTGTTGGGGGATGTTTGGATTCACATTCTTTCTATTGCAGGGTTTGCTTATCATAGCCACCAAAGACTCAATTACTGGCACAAAGAGCAGAGGGGTGATTGAAAAACCCTGCCGTACTGGGCGATAAAGTTCAAAAGGGGTGGACAAGTGTCTGTTGACCATGATGTCTGTTGCTGCTGATTTATGTGTAACTGGACCCAAGTTGTGAAGGATTCTCCATGCAACCATCCACGAAGACCCAGTCACGTGATCATAGGTTTTTTGAAAGTCCATAAACAGGATAACCGGCTCTCTTCTTCCGCGTCTTGCATACTTTACGGTGTCATTTACCAAGAATATGTTGTCTTGAATGTTCCTTTGCGGCATCAAGCCCATTTGATCTTGGTGGATAAGGTTATTGAGGTATGGGAGCAGCCTGTTTGTGAGTGCTTTAGAGACAATTTTGTATGGTCAAGGCAGCAAGGTTATTGGCCTGTAATTTTTCATGTCCGTCTTCTCCCCCTTCATTTATAAGAGTATTGTTACACTTTGGATCATCAGACCCTAAAATGGCCCCTGCATTCTTGTTCCTTGGACGCATTCCTTGAAGCAACGAAAGTTCTTTAGCAAACAAGTAAAGGTCCGGCATCTTTTCATCACATAGGGAAACCTCAGGGTGCTGTTTTTTGTAATCCTTTGACTTGCTGGTGGAAAAGTAAGGACTGTTGTTCCCCAGAATACAATGGAGCCAGGACATCAAGTCCCTCTTTAAAAATTTAGGGAGCAGATAAAAAAAGATGGTGTGTTTTCAGTTCACTAATGAATTCCATGCCGAAATTTTGCCGGAAATGAATCGTGGTGGCCCAGGCAGAGCTTAAGCTGCTGCGAGGGGAATCTGAGGACAGAGGTCCACTCACAGAAAGCGAGGTGGAAGCCCTCCAGAAGAATGTGCAGGATTACCTGGATGACACATCAGCAGAGGCCACAATAAACTTTGGCGGTAAGACAATGTGTGAAATTGTGAATGGTTCAATGGTTTCCTTTTTAACTATTTCTTCTCCTTCTTCTTTTTTTTTTTTTTTTTTTTTYTTTTTTTCGGAAAACAAAGGCCCCATCTATTCTGGGGGGCAGCAGTCCGGTTGCTTATCACCAGCAAGCATGAGCACAGCCCGCTGTCTTCAAGAGTGTTGCTGGCCGAGCGCAGACATTTTTGCTGTTTGTGTTTGGAGAAGAGGGGAGAGGACAGCCATAGCTGAGTGCTCTCTGTGTATACCACATCATTTTATATTCAGCTCAGGAAAAAAAGAGACTGCTGCTGATCACTTTGTCCCAACCTGTGAAGTCATTGACAATGAAAAGCAGCAGTCTTTTTGTTGTCGTGACCATATTGGCTAGCACGTCCTTACGACCCTTTAGCAGTTTTGACCAGACATAAACTGTCATAAAGCAACCGCTATAGTCTTTTTTTTCTTTCTTTCAGTTTTCAAATAGGATGCAACTATGTGCAGCAGAAACCAGAAAACTGAACTGTGGAGGTTGTATGATATGCAGAGAACTCAGTTCAAAATCCGCACAGACAGTCCATGGTCGGAACTTTTGGTCTAAGTCCAGATTCAGGGGTAAGACTCAAAAGTCTTGTCTCCTGCCAAGAAGTGTCTCAGAAAAGCCCTTGGTCAACAGGTACAGGGTCAAGGGTCAAAAGAGGCGACCCGTGCCCCCAGAATGTGGTAATTGACGTCAGGAAAATTAGCTGTAAAAGAGAGAGGTTTATCAGAAGTCGACCACTACCATAGAGCTGATGCATGTCGAAGGATGTCTGCATTGTTCCAGAAGCTTTCAAGTTCCAATGGGTCCAGGCACACATTGGCCGACAGCAAATCTGGGCCATCCAGATCAAGAATCTCAGCCACACAAGGAGGCAAACTGAGGTAGGCCAAGGCCGGTTAGTACTATTAAAGACTCGCATGTCCACTCAGCTTATTCATTCTGCCTTGCGCTGCTGGAGGGTGGAGCGCTGCTGGAGGGTGGAGCGCTGCTCCACTTTGCGCTGGAGGAGGCAGGAGAGGCTGGCGCCAGAGAAGAAGACAATAGAGTCAGTCAGGGAAGAGGAGAGAGACAAGAGCCATAGCCAGGGTAGGGTGCCAAGTGCGAGAGCTGTAATATAGAGGAGGAGTGAGGTTGAGGGTGGTCAAGACCTGTGTGGTGAGTGAGAGAGAGAGGTTGTTGCTGGTGGAGTTGGGACAGCAGTTTGCTGACAGCTGTCAACATCCACAGCTGAGCTTTGTGCTGGAAGTTGGGCCTGACGTTAAGGTCAGCTGCAGAGGAACTTCATCAGTGGCGTTAATAGGGAGCGACATACTGAGGTGGTGACGTTGGTGGGAGAGGGCCTAAAGTCGAAGTGGAACGGAAGGTCCGCTCAATTATATTTCATTGATTATTAATGAAACTTCCGTCCTTGTCTCCATTTCTCTTCTACCTTTGTCATATTTCTGGATACTCGCTGCTGGGGCTAGAGACTATATGTGTGATGAGACTACGTGCATGATTCTGCTGTTGCAAGCTTCTGACAAGTTTTGGGTTCATTACAAGTGCATGAGGTGTGCAGTTAGAAATTTTCACCGGCTGCAAGTGAGAATGTCTAATACGTTGCAGAGAAGCAACAGAATACTGGGCAAGGGCATCGGCCCTCTGAAACTCTCTATTCTCGTCTCCGCTCCCCGAACATCCCTTCCAACTTCTCCTTTGGACTAACATCCCTACCCAGTTGAACAAGACAGAGAGTATCTCGGAATGATCAGGAAGGCAACACTATGGACCATCTGGAAGGAAAGATGTGGCAGGACCATTCAGGGTGCGTCAAACTCGAGGGAAAAAGTCTGGGCGGAAATGAAGGATTTGATTCAGGCAGAGATTTTATGCAGTGGCACAAGGCAAGACTTTCCCTACCAGACGAGGACGAGCAACAGCGCGCAGCACAGTTAAGGTTCACCAAGGGCTGGCTGATTGAAGGAAAAGTCGCAGAGATAAAGAACTCTTATCTACGATGGAAGGAATGGCACAACTCGTGAGGGGATAGGAGAGGAACAATATACCTCACGACCAATGCAGTAGTCCCGACACAGACAACAATGTCCTATGCTGAACAACATGGGTATCAGGCATGAATGGAGAGAGGAAACAGCTTTAGATCTGCGACTGGAGGCAGTTCCTACCACTTTCTCTCGCTTTGAATAGGTCTATTTGACAGGCCCAAGAAGGGAACCTGAGAGGAGCAAGTTGTTAGGGCAAGCTGACAGTCAATCCTCCCCATGGGAGCAATCAATGCTGGTCAGGGGTCCTTCAGCCAGATGGAAGGAAGCGACACCCAATTTCGAAAGAAATGAAAGCACTAGCAAAGAGATAGAGACCAGAGGAGAGAGAAAGAAGAAGAAGAAGAAGAAGAAGAAGAAGAAGAAGAAGATGTACACCGGCAAGACCAATGACAATTCCCCCTTCTCTCTCCACCTTCCTCCTCCTTCACTTCGCCAATCTTATTCTTTCTCCCAATAATAATAATAACAATGAGTGGATGAACCAGAATCAATATCCGAAGTTCCTTCTTACTGCTGACTCAACAACAACAACAACAACAAGTCCACCATAGCTATGGCTTCCCTCCTTCTGCCTCCTCTCACATGCATAGGCTATGGCGGACTACTGAGGGCCCTGCCCTCCTGTCCAAAGGACAACCCAAAGCAGCTATGGCGCTGCACTCCTGTCCAAAGGACAACCCAAAGCAGCTATGCTGCTGCTGACTGGTCCGCCATGCCTGACTCTGCCTCGAGCTTCCTTGGTGCGGCACTACCCCAACTGGGGCCTTCCAGATGCAGCGCCCAACAAGGTGATGAAGACGGTGTCCACCATAGCCAGGTAGGTGCCTCGCCACTCTCCTCCTTCGCCCCCTTCTTCCTCCTCCTCAGGCTGGGCTGCTCGCCATAGCCAGGCTGAGGGCCAGCTGCCCTTCACCTCCAAGCAGCGCTGTATCAGCCCAGCGCTGTGCTCCAGCAGCATGCCGCCAATCCTTGCATACCGCAAATGAGGAGGAGCTACTTGCTCCTCCGGAAGATATAGCGTCCTACTGGCCTCTTGGGCGGTGACTTCCTAGGCCGAGCGGCCTCCCATCAACCGGTACCTCCTCCCTTTCGGAGGGAAACATCATTGCAGGCTCTGCTATCCTCCGGACAGGCCCTAGACCCGGGCTACTTGGACTTGTACCGGCCTACCTCTAGCCTACCGCTACTGGACCTCTAAAAATGCCAACTTTTTGTCTTCTTCTGCTCGGCCTCCAGTACCCGACGCTTCTACCACTACTTCAGTGGTACCGGCCTACCCGCTACTTGAGTGTTTTTCCCTTCTGCTCTAAGTGTCACGGGCCTACCCCCCGCTACTCGAGTGTTTTCCCCCTTGCAACCCTCAAAGTCACGGCGACAGGTAAGTACCGGCCCTGCGGGGCCTTTCAACCAACAAGTACCCTTGCGGGTCATACACACACTCAGCCGACAAGCACTCAGACAGGCATGCAAACCAGTAGGCACGCACACACACACAGACATGGAAATCACATCAGAATGCGGGAATTTCAGCAAGGCATTCATTCCACATTGCTGCGATAGCAGCTTTGAGCAGGCGTGCGTACTTGGCATTATAGCCAGGCATGCCGAGCGTTAGACCAGGGGACCATTCGAGGAACAAATAGGAGAGAGGATTGCGCATCTGCCAACCATATTGCAGTTGATTCGGTGTTACGCCAGTTGCAGAGTGAATGGAGTTGTTGTACAACCCTTTCACTTTGTGTAACTCCTTGTCCCCGTGTTCTGATATGGAACAATTAGCGCGCGAAGGAGTTGAATGACAGTCTGGTTGATTTCCTCGGTCAATCCATTGGCTTCGGGGTGTCGACCTGAAGTCTTGTTGAGTTTAATGTCATAGATCTGTGAGGTGAAGTCCTTCCAATCAGCACTAATAAACCTGGTGTCCCAATCACTCACAAGAGTTTTCGGGACTCCATACTGCAGAATGTGTTGCTGGTGAAATTATTTGATCACAAGCTCAGTTGGTGCATGGGGAGGTAGAGGAATCAAGTTCAAAAATTTGGAAAAGCGATCCACAATGACCATGACTTGTGAATGTCCTCCCTCACTCACCTTCCCCATGTCCGTGAAATCGATAGAGATTGACTCGCCGTGCCCATCAGGAATTGGGAGGGGTTTCAGCAGGCCATACGGCTTATGCCTATGGACCTTGATTCTTTGACAAACTTGACATTCAACAATAAATTTCTGAGCAGATCCTTTCATTCCCGGCCAATCAAACTGCTGCAAAAGACTTCCATAAGTTTTCTCAAAGCCGAAATGTCCACTCCGACCATGTGCCAAGTCCAAGAAATGAGTCCGGAGAGGCGCATAGTTGGGTACACACAAACGATCAAACTTCCCATACCGGCGGAATACAAGACCCTCTCACTCGTGAAAATCAGGCTGACTACTAGGGTCAGCCTTGAGCTGCTCAAGGATGGGACTAAGGTCCGGATCCTTGGCAGTGTGTTCGACCAAATCCTCCTTCAGTTTCCTTCGGAGGTCATAAGAGTCCACAAGGCAAGTCAAAAACTCAGGATGACGCGACAAAGCATCAGCAACACGGTTATAAGAGCCTTTCTTATGCTTCAGTTCAAAGTTGTAAACATCAATGTCATGCAGCCAGCGGGTCAGTGTCGGAGAGAGATCAGTTTGTGTCTTAATCCTCTGCAAGGTCTGATGATCTGAGTAGACCTTGAAGTGACGACCCAAGAGGTAGTGCTTCCAATGTGTGAGCGCCTCGCGCAAGGCGTAGAGGTCACGCATATATGTGGAGGTAGCTACCTTGTGGCTGGGCATGCGTTTGCTGTAATATTCAAGCGGACGCAGACCATTGCCATCATCTTGTTGCAGCATTGCACCAATCCCATACTGGCTCGCGTCCATAGTGACTACGAACGTGAGGTTGGGATCCGCAATGCGGAGCACAGGATGACTTACCAAAGCCTCTTTCAAGGCTTGGAACGCAGTCTCACATTTCTCACACCACGCATAGGCAACATTCTTACTTGTTAGTCTTGAGAGTGGGTGAGCAATGACATAAAATTTGGGCACAAGCTTCCGATAATACGAGGCCAAACCAAGGAAAGAACGCAGTTCGCGTACGTTCGCTGGTTGAGGCCGTTTTCGAATGACCTCAACCTTGATTGCCTCTGGCTCAAGGCCGTTTGCAGACAACCGGTGCCCAAGATAGATGATGCTGTCTCTTCCAAACTCAAATTTCTCTAAGTTGAGGTGCAGTTGTGCCTCCTTGAGGACCTGCAAAACCCCCTCCCGATGCTTGACGTGCTCTTCCATGGACTTGCTGAAAATCAGGATGTCATCGAGATAAACAACAACAAACCTGTTAAGCTGATGGCGGAGGACCTTGTCCATGAGGCACTGAAACGTGGCTGGTGCATTCGTAAGACCGAAGGGCATAAGGATGAATTGGTACAGCCCATCGCGTGTTTTGAATGCAGTTTTGTGCTGGTCACTCGGATCAACTTCAATCTGGTGGTAGCTAGACTTGAGGTCGATCTTGGAGAAGACCTTGCACCCACCTGCCGCATCTAGCTGATCATCTATGCGAGGCAAAGGATAAACATTCTTTCTGGTGATCCGATTGAGGCCACGAAAGTCAATACATATCCGGAGTTTGCCTCCTTTTTTCGGCACAAACAAGACAGGTGCACCGAACTCAGACTCGCTAGGCCTAATCCATTCACAATCGATCATGTCATCAATTTGTCTCCTCAACTCCTCCAACTCGCGCTGTCCCATACGGTAGACGCAGCCCTTTGGAGGAACATTCCCTTCTATTATCTCGATTTTGTGTTTGATCGGACGCTCGGGAACTCCACGAGGTTCAGCCAAGACTTCAGGAAATCGATCTAATAGACGACGAATGTTTGTTGGGACTTCCGGTGGAGGATCATCCTCATCAGGAGAGAGAAAATCAGATTGAGAATTTACAGCAATTACAACTGAACTCGAAGTACTTGGGACAGAAGTAGACTGATTTTTTACAGTAGAAGTAGATGGAACAAGAGAAGAGGTAGTAGAAATAGAATTACTTTCCGAGGTAGAAAATGCAGCAAAAGTAGAAGGCACATGAAGAGGCTTTACGAGAGCTACATGTACATGCTCAGCTTCCTTGCGCCTGCGCACTGATTTGCAGAATTTGTTTGCACTTAAAAGAGTCACAGGGGACTCGCGCGTCTCGTCCAATAGAACGGTACGCTCGTTCCCCTTGGCATCACGCACCACGGACTGATTATCCACCCACGTTGTCCTTAGGCAATGAGCCTTTAACCAGCCCAAGCCAATGACCGCGTCGAAAGGACATTTGTCCATGACATAAAAGTTCAGCTCATGTGTGATAGTGCGATCCTTGTCAAAAGTGACGCGCACACCTTTGACAGCATGTGTTGAGGTGACAACCTCTTGGTTGCCTACCTGGGTCTGACAAGGGTTTTGCAACTCCACTTGCTTCATTCCCAGGCCCGCCTTACGAATCCCGTTAGGAGAAAAAAAGTTAGTCTTTGAGCCACTATCAATCAGCACATGGATGTATCGGCGGTTAATGAGTAACTTAAAAAAGGTTAGCTCCACACTCCCTTGAACACGGCGTTACTGCTTGAGCTGCAGCCAATGTTCCACGTGTGAGTGGAAGTCAACTCCCTTAGTCTCTTCCCAAGGCTCAGTGTACAGTACTTGGACTGCACCAGCCTTGGATTCAGCATCAGTTTAGGCTTCAAGAGCAAGTTGTTGATCAGATTCAGGCTCCTTGGAGGGGCCTGCAACTGACTGTTCAACTTCCCTTGTTGTAGAGAGTGTTGATGACTCCTCTACGCCCTTTGCCTGTTTCCCTGCAGACGATACCAATCCTGCACAGCATGCCCAGGCTTTTGACAATGCAAGCACACGCGCAGTTTGGATCTTCTTTCCCATTCCTTTTGACTAATGCGGAGGGCTTCCCAAGGCTTGGTAGAAGCATCCTTCGGTTTCTCAGGGATCTTTGCATTTTTGGGGAGGTGTGCTATAGTTCCCTTACCCGAACTACGGTTAGGCCCCTTGTTTGAAGCAGTCTTTTTAAAAGCATTACATTTTTCTTCAGTATTCACGTCAGACTCAAGGGCTGATGTAAAACATCCCACGTCGGAGTCCGGCTCTAGATCGTCATCCAGAGACAGATCATCCGCATAGGACTGATCCTCAGCCCCCCGATGTTCATGCAGGGCAAGCTGGTTGCTGCTTCCGTACCGCTTGTGTTGCGAGGTTCTACCTACAGCGGGTGCCTTTACATGCCTTGCGAGTTCCTTGGCTTCTAGGTTGACTAGATCCGTCAATAGCTCTCGCCAAGTGGTATGGTCTTTGATTCCTAGTTGGGAGACGTATTCTTTAGGGGCCACTCCCATGACTACATCCATGCAAGACACGCCGGTCAATCCCAGGTTAGGAATGGTGAACAGACCAGTCAAGTGCTGCTCCAAAGCCTGCATGGAAACCCTCCACGTTTGGCCCTTGAGGGCCTCAAGCTTCAGTCTGGCCTTGAGTGCAGCGTGCTTATCTTGATATTGCGTGATGAGGAGGTCCTCAAGAGTACGCACAAGTGTCACTTTCAGCCACTCGGTCAGGTCAATCCTCTCATAACCTGCTGTGACAGCTTGGAGTTCTATGAAACTCTGTACGACGGGCTCAGTATTAGTGCCCATGATCATGCTTCGGTCTTCCTGCGGTGTTCGCAGTACCTCGAAGTATGAGCGCATGGAGCTAATCCAAGAGGTAATATCCCCTTTCCCGTCGTATTTGGATGGCAGAGTGGCCGCCCGCTTGTCCACTACGGGACCGCTGTACTATACGCCAATAAGAACTGTGGCGTTTTGGGATGATGTTCCTGCATTTGGGACTATGACTAGTGCAAAACTGTCGGCGCTGCCGCTTGAGGAGCTGGCACCGATTCCTGCGCTTGTCACAATTCCACTTGCTCTTGTCACGAGGATTGTGTTAGGGTGAGAGACTGGGACTACGGCAGGTCGAGGGTCAGGAGGATTGGGGGCAGACAGTTGGGACTGTTTGAGGCTGACTATCTCAGCCTGCAGCTCTTGGTTCCGCTTCTCCAGGGATGTCACACAGGACTCAAGGTCTTCCAAGGTCCGCAGTTGAACCAAGGCTGCTACGACAGTAGCTATCTTCTCTCAGAACCGGTCATCATTCGATTCCGGAACCGCAAGGAGGGCCACCTGTTCAGCAATGCGTGTGGCTCTGACTGCTGCCTCTACCTCCCTTTCTCTGTGTATAGCGTCCTCATAAAGTTTCTGAAAGAAAGGCCTCTCGTTATCGGCCGTTGTGTCCAGCATGGCCTTCCATTGCTCGGACGTGATGTTTGCCATGCCGAGGATACGGTGTCAGTAGATCTCTTAAGAGGGGTCCGCACTTTGCTCACTTTTGGACGAACACTCCTCTTACCCTTCCTCACACTCTAAAAAAAGACACCTTCTCTCTCCCTTCTCTCTCTTTTCGCTTTCTGCGCCCCGGTCTCAATACCGGACATAGATAGTTCAGATAAAAGAAACAAACAGTAAATCACATAGAGTAGAAGGTAGAACTCCTAGCCGGAGCGGCAATTCATTTGGACTTAGAGAATGGCACGCAGCAGAATAAAAAAGAATAAAAAAAAATAAAACGGAACAGAGGACTGACTTATCGAACGGGCATGATCAGATTAGCTGGAGATCCCCTCTTGTCTAACCTGACAAGGTACATGTACCACAATAAATAAGCCGAAGAAAACTAACTGCAGCAATGGAGATTTCGAGGGGTGCAGATGGTCGCCGAGCCAGACGCGGGGCAGTATGTGATAACATGCAGTAAGACCAGTCAAGATCCCCTTGAAAGGAATGCCCTTGCTAGCCGTATGTCCCCCAAATTCAGCACAGCAAAGAGATGCATTGACGGCAACAGATTTGAGCCCTAAAGGTCCTGTCCCGTTGGGCTTGGTCCCACTGAGTCCCAAAGGTCCCGAGTAGGTCGTGGACCAGGACCAACGAGATAGGTGTACCAAGTCAGTCCCAAACTGCCTCTACCGTACTGAAAAGGAAAAGACAACTTTCAGCAAGAACTCACCCCTACAACCGTTCAGAAATGAAAAGACATTGCACCGTAAAAAGATATGTTATTTATAATAGATACATCATCCATCCATCCATCAGGTGAGAAAGCAATCCACATGCTCACACACACAACCAAGACCGCAGAGAAGAGGAAGAGAGCCCAATACTGAAAAGGAAAAGACAACTTTCAGCAAGAACTCACCCCTACAGCCATTCAGAAATGAAAAGACATTGCACCGTAGAAAGATATGTCATTTAGAACAGATACATCATCCATCCATCCATCAGGTGAGAAAGCAATCCTACGCTCACACACACAACCAAGACCGCAGAGAAGAGGAAGAGAGCCCATCACACCCCAACAGGCCATGAAGCACCAAGCAACCTCCCACGGGCATAACCAGGTCACACGACACTTACCTGTGAGGCCCGGCCTCCAAAGATGGATAACGACTCACCCCCCTCTCTCATAAGTCCTCCTGACCCCTAGCTACCACTACACGAAGTGTCCTAGCATGACTAAGAGGGCCTTCCTACACCCCTGTTGCAAAGCCGGATCCCCCGTCGATGTCTAAAGACCAAAGTAGCAACTTGCAGCAATTCGATGCAGATATGGCAGCCTTCGATCAAGTTTCCCTCTTAAGGGGAAGCCCAAAAGTCACTCAATGTCTTCGTGAAGTGCAGATTCCAGGTGCGAGTACCTCTCACTCTCTACGCCCTCTCGCTTACTCCAATCAGCCTCCTTTGTGTCTCGCCACCCCATCCATTCACTCAAGCAACCTGGTCAGGTCTAATGTCGACCCTACATGACCTAACCAGGTGGGGACAGTATCCACATACCTCACTGCCCCACTTAACCCTAACTTCCTAACCCTAATCTGAGATTAGGTTAGCCCTAACCTAATTCGGAATTAGGTTTAGGGTGACTAACACCTCTCGCCAGCAAGTAAGTCCGCTCTGATACCAATTGTTACGATCCTGGTCATTCCCAAAGTGCAAATTCACAATGAAAGACAATGCCACCCAATTGTGAAAGAAATGAAAGCACTTGCAAAGAGATAGAGACCAGAGGAGAGAGAAAGAAGAAGAAGAAGAAGATGTACACCAGCAAGACCAATGACAATTCCCCCTTCTCTCTCCACCTTCCTCCTCCTTCACTTCGCCAATCTTATTCTTCTCCCAATAATAATAATAACAATGAGTGGATGAACCAGAATCAATATCCGAAGTTCCTTCTTACTGCTGACTCAACAACAACAACAACAACAACAACAACGAGTCCACCATAGCTATGGCTTCCCTCCTTCTGCCTCCTCTCACATGCATAGGCTATGGTGGACTACTGAGGGCCCTGCCCTCCTGTCCAAAGGACAACCCAAAGCAGCTATGGCGCTGCACTCCTGTCCAAAGGACAACCCAAAGCAGCTATGC